CTATATATATATATATATATATATATATGGATGGATGGAAGAGACTACAAAACACCTATGGACGAAAATGAACAGTATTTTTATCTATAGGTTCGGCGCAGTCTGATTTTTCAGACGGTGTGGATTAAACACCGTCACGGACATAACATGTCCGTGGCGGTCCGTCATGGATATAACATGTCCATGGTGGAATTTTTTTCACGCAAATTTGACGCAATATATATATAGAGACCGCTACAGTCCCCATAAGGTCGGTGGCAGTTTTTAAATGAAACCATCACAACATAGCATGTTAGTGACAAGGGCGAAACAATCTAGCACTTCCTAATATATGCAGGGTGTGGTTTGTACAAGTCGGAGGCCCTAACCAATTCAAGGGAAGCGCTCCTTCAAATAGTGCCAAAACATATTGTTTCAGTATCAAAAATCTTTGTGATGGTCTGAAAACGTATTTTCGTCTTTAATAATAAAATTCCAAAGTTAAAAAATAATGTAAATCTAGCAAATCTGTGAGCACTTGAAAATTAACGATCTAGATAATATTACAAGATGCACTAATTGAAATGTACTGAAAATAAAAAGTTAATAAAAGTTCGCAGTAAATACCCTTTTTACTGCATAGCATATATTAAAGGACCTTTAATCTCTTTTAGTTCAACTTCAAACTTCTTACTCCCTTAACATCTCTCTCTCAGTAAAGGTTAAGAATTTGAACTTTCCACCATTAGCTGTGCTGCAAAGAAGGGAAGCCTCCTTGCAATAACAAATTGAAAGAAAGCGTTATGGAACAATCAATCAAAATTAACAGAAGACAGATAATATTTATCCACCAATGTACCTAAAATGCCAATGTAAAAGCTGCGAAGGTCTCCATTGCTTAGAGTCACAAATGCTTCTCAGGGTTCCAAGTCAAAGCAATTACGAACTGAACTGAAATTTGCAGCCATTGAAGTCTCAATGCAAGGGAACTCATCGGTGGTTCTTATATTTTCAAGGCAAGGGAACTTGCATTGAAGGTTCCGCCTATTTTAAAGTCCTTTTTACTTTTTATAATAAGATGGGCTTTAGTGTGCCCGGCTAGAGCACATTATGTACATACTCCCTCTTACAAATATCTACTTCGAATTTTTTTTTTTTTTTTTGTAATTTAAAGTTTTGGGATCCTCGTTAGAAGCATTATGTGAGGGGTGCAATTTGTACAAACCCTAGGCTCTAAACAATCAAACTAAAATGCACATTCAAAGAGTGTCAAGAAATGTGGTTTCAATACTGGAAATCTTTGTGATAGCCTTAAAATCTATTTTCATCTCTAATTATAAAATTTCGAGCCTTAAAAATAATGTAGATCGAGAAGATCTATGAATACTTGAAAATCATGAAAATTGACGAACTAAAATTGCATTACAAGATGCAATATTCCCAAAACTTGAAATCCATTTTTTTCTCATGTTCATGCATCTTGATGTCGAGATAATCAATTTGAAGATATTTGAGCATCAAAATAACCTCTTGTAATGAAATTTTTAATGTGCATCCTAATTCGGTAAACCGTTTCCTTCTGTGAGTATTTTGAATAAAAATAAGATTTTCAGTTACATAACATTAAATTTGACTATCTAAAAATTAGATGATCTCTTTCCGGTCTAACTAGGTTATTTTTCCACACATATATATAATGTGCATCTTGTTACTTACTTATTCATTTATTTAACTGATGAAGTTGGTTATTAAGTTGAGGAGGTTCCTACTCCAAAGTTTGAGATCCTGACACTACATCAAGGCTTTAAACAAGGGAGTTAGTGTATGATGTGCTCCTGCAGAAGCATATAATCTTGC